ACATTGGCACAACAATCTTTGGACTAATACATTCAATCTCATTTGATAAAGAAACAAAAGCCTTACCATGCTTGGAGATCATTTCTTAGAATCTTTTTTTTTCAAGTTCTTTCAAGAACTCAATTCTTCCAATCTTTAGCTTAGTCAATGTCTCTTTTATGAGATTGTATCCAATCCTTCTTATCTCCCTCAATTTAGGCTCTTTTTTAGCCTTCCTAATATGATTTTCAAAGTCCAGTGGTAATTATATTGCCAATGGCCTCACCTTCTTTGCTACAGTCTTATACTTGGTATTCACCATTACATCAATCTCTAAGCTATAACTCTCAATCAACTTTACATCAGTAGCTATCTTTAATATTTCTTCATACAGTCTTCTTGAATGAATCTCTACCATCATGTCAATAGATTCAATGACTTCTCCTTGAAAAGTTTCTAAAACTTATAAAACATCATTTAAAAAATCTTATTCTTTAATAACTCTAGAAATAGACTCATCACTAAAAATCACACCTACTCTTTTTTATTTTATTTTTATTTTTTTAATTAATCTTCTATGTTTAGAATCCAAATCTTTAACCTTTTAAAAACTCATACATCTATTTTTTGTCAAACTCCAAATCTTACAACTACTTCTCTATATATTGGAGCATGCTATAATAGATGATTTCTTTGCATCCATGACACTCCATGCTCAACATGTGCAATCTAAAAATCCAAAAAATTATCATATTCATGGTCCATAGAAGTCTCTCTAAGTTGATCTCTACACCTCTCATGATTTGGTCTTACTATAAGAAACTGGACTGATCTCTTATCATCATGGCTACAAATCCTTACACAATATGAACCATCATCCAACACCTTGGTCTCCATCCTTGTTGCAATGATATATGGCTCTTCCAAAATGATTGAATAACTTCCTTGATTTTATACAAAGAAATTTTGTTCCACTTCTACATCACCAATTTTGATGCCCATTGCTAGACATGCTCTATAAAGGCTACCTCTTTCATTGTTGGTAGCTCTCAACATCCATCCATGGTTGATATCAATTGACTAATTATCTTTCTCATAAATCTTTCTAGACAAGATATTGATCTCAAAGCTATAATCCACTAATGCTAAGATTGGCTCTTTAAGGCCTCCAATCTTTACATGTGTCTCTATAGTAACTCTTACCCAAAATGGATGAGTATAAATTGTCAATGCTTCACCATTATTCCTCCATAGCTTATTAACCTCACATTGAGATACCTTGGCTTCCATTGTAATATTTTTTTCTTAATTCTTACGAGTGTTGGCATCCACCTTTATATTAGCTATTCAATCACATAAAAATATTTGTAGCACTTCATCCTCTATTTCATCACATAAATCTTCCTTTATAATTTCAACTTTTGTTTTTACAATCTTATCAAAAATAATTCCATACTTTTTGTTTTGGTCACTATTGTCCATATTATCACATTTCAAGGCAAAAACTTATCTAAACTATTTTTTTATTTTTTAATCATTAGAGTATCTAATACTCTTGCCATCATTGTTTTAGTTGTCATTTGCTTTTTTTTCTGGATAACATCAATGATGAACTCATGAAAACCTTTCTTGGCAATACGAAGAGCTTTCTTTAAGATAAACTCAATCTTGGTATCCAAAATCCTTTCTTCTAAGATGCCTTTTATGACAATTGAGGATTCAATATCAGATTGAAGTGTATAGACTCATGTGTTATCTTTTCCTTTAGTATTGTCTTTCTTATCCTTATCCTTGCTGCTATCCAATCTCTCTTCCCACTTTTTCTTTGAGAGTGGAACATCAGCTCTTAGGTGTAAAGTAAAAGATCTAGTCTCTTGCTTCTACTTTATGTTTCTTATTGGTCTTTTTCTTGGAGCAATGTTTCTACCACTTGGAGCTTTTTTCTTATTAGTTGGCTCTCCTATCTCTTCTTCTTCATCAATTCTGCATGTCTTCATCTCGTCTCATGCATTATAAGATTCCTTCTCTCCATGTTCACTCACCAAATAGGCCCTAATAGTGGTTGCATCAATTGGATCATCTCATCTAATTAGTCTTCTAATAGCTTGAGCCTCCCTTACCATTACTTCTTTAGATACATGTATAGAGGTTCCCACCTTGATGTATTTAGCCTCAATGATATAAGTCTTTGTTTCTTTACCAAGTAAAGAGTTATTTTTCTCTAATCTATCTTCCATCAATTTCTTCATACTTCTTCTCTCAAAGTTAGTTTCTAGAGGCTCATTTGTTGCAGCATCTCTAATTTTGCCTTCTTTGAAGGTAATAATACTATTCTTCATAGCATCTGTATATAATCCACAATCACCATGTTTGTAGTTTGGATCATTATACCAAATGCACATCACCACAAATCCCTTTGATCCTTCAATTTGTCGTGAAGTGCTTGACCTTGTGTCTTTCTTTAAAATAATTATTTCTATCTTTAATTCTTTCAGACTCTTCATCAACTCATAAAGGGTTTCTTCACCTATATTCTTATTTCTTAAAAAGATTGATAGATGTAAGTGTAAAATTCACTCCTTTATCCAATTATAAGATGGTCTCAATTAAGAGTTGCTTGTAATAGGTGGTGTGAAGTAAAAATAGCAAGAACAAGAACAAAAGAAGCAAAACACATAACAAGTAGAACAATTGGAGCTAAGCAATTGTATATTATAAATTTATTCATAGTTTGTTCACTAAATTTTTATCTTATGAAAAATAAAAATAAAAAGTTAAAATATATATTTTTAAAAAGATAATTGTTTTATCTTTCCAATGATATAAGAAACATATAAATTTGAATTACTATGAGTAAGTTATGAAGGTTTAAAAAATAATAATTAAATAATTAAATAATTAAATAAATAATTTTTACCTCAAGGATAATTTGCTTAAGAGATCAGGAGTTCGAGCCTCACCTAGGCTCACAAGTAGTGTATATGGATTCTTAATAGAAGCCATGATGCCTTAGTCTTATCTTCTTAACTACCTTCAAGGTACTACAACCTATATGGAACTTGTGCACCACCTTTCTTACAAAGATTACACTAGCTGCTGGTCCTCCTACTTTCTACTAGTAAAACCAATAATTTTGCATTTTTGACTTCATCATGGTCTTTGAAAATACCTTGTTAGTCTAAGAACTTAATGTTGCCTTCAAATCTTACTCTATTTTTTCATAATGGCTTCCAAAGTGATAAAATTTATTTTTATCAAAGTCTTGAAAATTACTCTAAAAACTCCTAAAACATTCTAAATAAATTATAAAAATTTATATAATATTTTATAATATTAAAATAAATTTAAAACTATATTTTATTACCTTTATAACTTTTTATGATAATAAAATTAATTTAAATCAACTATAAGTCCTTCTTTCTATATAAATAATTAAAAAGACATGAAGTTCTTTCTTATGATTCTTCTTAATACTAACTAATATTTATAGTTTTTTATAAGTAATATATATAGATGAAAGATTAATATAGATATTGATCTTAATAACCAATACAAACTACTCAACAATAAATATAAATCCTAAACCAACTAAAATAATTACCTTCAAGACTTATTAAGACTCCATTTCTTCTCCACTTAGACTATTCTCCATCATTTAACATCTTCTAAGTACATCTTTATCTTAAAATTGTAATTTTGGCACTCTACATGCATTCTCTTGTCCTAAAACGACTAGAGAGTCAATTTGATGACTTACACATATCAAAAAAGTGTTTGATAACAATTCTTTATAATTAAAAATACTAAATGGTGAACTATTTTCAACAAGAACATAAATGAATAGATGTAAGGAGTTTAAAGTATAAATATTTTACTTCATAGAAGAAAAAATATTATACTTTGTGTTTACATAAAGGAGTAAGGATCCAGCTAAAGAACTTAATCAAACTTGATATTTATCAACAAAATGAGAATCTTGACTCATCAAGAAGATAAGAATATCTTTTACAAGGTTCTCAGTTCTACTAAAATATTATCTCTCTTTTTTAATAAAGAAGGTGAATCAAAAAAAAAAAAAAAAAAAAAAAAAAAAACTTTATTTTATATTATTTAGAAATGACTTGGAATTAATTAGCATCCTTGGAGTATTAGGCAGTTGGCCACAAAAGTGGTTATGAAGGAAGTGGCTTGGATTCAAATCTGGTCCAAAAAGGCACCTATCCATATGAGCTAATATTAGAACAGAAAAGTGGCCAACATGTTCAACTTAGAGGATATGTAGGTCTCATAGCTACTAACTTAAATTCTTCTCTCTGAATAAGAATTATATAGCACCAACTTTTAGCTTTTTACATAGAATTATTTTATTTTTCTTCCTCTTTTTTTTGTTTCTTTTTTTATTCCATAGAATTATCTCACCTTACTTTACTATATAGACAAATTTCTTCAATAATCATCTAACTCGAGAGAAGTAGGACTAGAAGATATGATTGCACTAATATTGAGTATGATCTTTCATATGAATAATTTTAGTTTGGTTCTATAGCACTACTAGTACAGTATTGATAGAATATTAAATCCATTTGCCTAACTTTAGATAAGGGCCTACTTGTGGAGTAAGAAAATTTAGATATTCAATGACTCATATATGTCCCAAATAGTCGCCATATATGAGTCATTGAATTGACTGACTTGGAAATTTAGTATAAAAATGCGCTTATTGTGCTTAAAATCACAGATTTTATGAGTTAGTAGTGGAATTTTTAGAAAAAATAGAAATTAGATTATTCATAGTAGAAATGCAACTTAGAATAGAATTTATTGAGACAAATTTCCATGATGAATAGATTTTTTTGTAGTTAACAATAAATGATGGCCAATGGAAGTAGCCCTCGTTGTCAAAAGAAAAGAAAAGAAAAGAAAAGAAATAAAAATAAAAAGTTAAAAGGTGACCAATGTGGCAAGAGACTGCCCCTAAATGGCGGCAGCCTCCTCATCGATAGGGGTCCAGCCACTGGATCTCTCTTGTTTTTTGGTTTTTTCTTCACGTCTTCTCGAGCTCTGGGCGCTCCGAAACTGTTTTTTTCCTCCTTCGATTGGTGTGTAGGGTGAGCTCCGCATGAATCGAAGTCTGCGGCTCTCTATCTCTACTAGGCATGTGCAGCGGTGCTGCATTTGGGGAGGCTGCCTAGGAGCAAAATCGTGCTCAGTTCTGGCAGCTGATGTTTTGCGGCTGACCTGGTAATTGAAGACTGCATTGGGTCAATTCTAGTGTTGCTGGAGCAACAATGGAGCCAGTTTGGTTTCTTCGAGGTGTTGCGGCTAAGGTAGCATCAGTGTTCATGCTACGGTGGAGTTGCAATTGCCTATGTCGTTGTGCAAATGACTGAGGAACATGTGTTTTTTTTTTCGTTTCGATTGTGGGAGCGGCTCGTCTTTTGCTGTGTTTCTTTAATTCTTCATGCGCCGATTCCTAAACCCCCAAGATCTTGCCACAGTTCCTCGTCGTGTATTTATTTCATTGGTTCCCTCTAGCGGCGTTCCCTTTTGTGTCATTTTTTAATTCCCTGGAACAACTGATTTTCATCGATGTGGAGTTGTTGTTCCTCTAGCTGATCCTGCCCTCGTCACCATTGCTTCATTCACTCATCCTAGTGATGTTCTCTGGCTGGTCAAAGGTGGCAGGCGACGGCGGTAATTGTCACCATCACAGCGCCCTTGCTGAAGTTATCTTGTGACCCAAAATTGGGCACAAGTCATTGGGAAGAGCGATTTTGTCCTAGTGCACTAAAAACTAGTCACAACTCTTCTACATATGGAAGGTTCTCTCAATTGCAGCCGACTCAAGAAGTTCTCCAATGTGGTCAGGCCCTGGTGGTCTCCGTTTTTTATTTAGCTAGACATGCAAACCAAGTCAATACAGTTCATACTATGAGCGATATTATTTTTGCCAAACCACTGTTGTTCTTCACAACCAAGTGTTCCCTCTAGAACACATCCGGAAGATGTTGTAGGAACTGTTCTCGTAGGCTGCCAATGATACGTTGAGGTTCTTGTTCTTATTGCTATTTATCGATCTTGTTGTAGATTGTTAGCTGTGCATTGGAAGAGCGTGCTGGAATAGGTAAACATCAAAGAGGGAAGGCACTTACCCTCTCCACAATCTTGCTGTTGTTCGATGAGCCATGCAACCAATTTGCGACTAGTATCATTCAAACTGGAAGGATCGTAAGGGTTCATGCTACTGAGCATGTGGGATAGCAAGGCAAGAAAAGCATTGACTATAGTTAGTTTCATCAACTCTCCGCTTCAGGGAGATGATGCACTGAGGAGTGGGGCTGCTCAAAGCAAAAGGCATCAACCCCAAAGGAACAGGAGTGACCTTCTCTAAGAGAACATGGCAACTCGGCTTTAAGACTGCAAACCATTAGAGGCAGAGCTAAGGGAGAATAGAAGTCGTCCCAAGCTTTAATCACTCCCAATTCTTTGAATGGTCGGAATCCAAGATTAAGTACAACTTCAACGACTAGGCAAGATTACCAAGTTTTACTGTTAAAAGTTTTTAGTAAATAAAAAATTATTTTGCATGAATTTAAATCAATAGAGATGAACCAAGGATTTCAAATGGGAGAGTTACTAGAGAAGACAATGATCTAAAGTTAGATGAATTCTTATTTACATATGAAAATCCATTCATGGATGGAATTTTCTTTTGGATGAACTTTGAATTTTGGGATGATATTTAATACTAACAAAAAGTAAAAATTAATAATAATAATAATAATAATAATAAGATAAAACAAAAATTATTTAAATCATATAAATTTGTCTTTTAAGTATATGTTGTCAATTGAGTTATTTTATTATCTTGTATTGGAGTTGTAGTGTTCTTTATGTGGTTGTATTGTTACCATAGATTTGACAATGAGAGTTAATTGGTAGAGAGTTGAAAAGTAAAAAAAATAGGAAACAACTTATTCAATTAAATTATATGCTAATTGATATTGATTAATTAAAATAGATTACATATTAGAGGGATTTATGTTAATCACGATTGGGATTTTTTTTGGATTATAGAATACCTAATTAAACAATAATAGATACTTATTGGAAATTTGGATAATTACATCGTTGTAAATTAGAATATATTCTTAACTAGTGGATATTTATTTTTGCTTCACATAGGTATGAAGTATTGTACTACAAAAGACATGCTTACTAATATGCTTAGAAAAGCATTACTAAAAGATAGACATCACAAGCTCATAGAGGCATTAGACTTGAAAGCCTTTTGACAATCAACAAAGTGAAAGTCTTGAAGATTAGCAAGATCTTACATATTTTACACCATATAGGATTAAACTATAATAAATTACTAATAGTCAAAAGATAGCAAAGGATTAAAACAAGTTACTTTGGTAGTAGTTAGGATTCTAAGTAAGAACTAGATTAAGAAGAATTTACAATATTAGTTAGATGTAGTAAAGAAAGATGAAAATAATTATAGATGAAGTTCATCTATAATAGATGTAAACTTCAACTATAAGTAAAGAGTGTTAGAAGTGAGAATTATCTTATTCCACACTTTTCTTTGTATGCAACCTTACTGATACTAAGTGTTGTGGCTTCTAACTTCTCTTTCTTCATCATGTCACGTAGCTAACTTATTGACTAAGTTTTTAGCCTACAAACATATATAAAGTCACAACAACATCTATAAAGCTTCTGATAAGCTTTTATAAAAGATATTATGAAATTAATCTATTTTTATTTACTTCTACTTGATCATGTAGGTAATTATTGAAGTAAATATGTATGTCCGTGATAATTCTAGTTTATATAAAGTTTGGTATATTTATTTTTTAAAATTATTTTTAATAAATTTTATTTTTAAACCTTTAAAAATATTTAAAATATATTTTTTATTTTAAATATTTTTAAAAAATTAATTATATATCTTTTTGGCTAAGTATTTGATACTAATTTATAATTTCTAAAACAAAATATTAGATATAGTTATTAAAATTATCTACTCTATTATAATTTTTATTTTATTATAATCTAATTTTTAACTTATATTTTAAATAATAAATTATAAAAATTATCTTTAAAATACATAAAAAATATATTTATTTTTTTAATTTTGGTATTTGGTCTTAAATCTTTAAAAACTTTAATAGAATAAATTTTATTTTTTAATTTCTTTATATTATAAAGAAAAATTAAAATTCATTTAAATAAATCACATTAAATTCATCTAATAATTTATAAATTATAATATTTATAAAATATTCAAAAATAATTGGAACAATATTGTGACCAAAAAGCATAAAATTGTATTCAAATAACCATACTTAATTCAAAATATAATCTTTTATACATTGTTTTTTTTATATGTCTTTTTTAAAGTTCTATTCAAATCTATTTTTTTACATATCTTAGTTGTATTCTATTGATAAAAATTATTATACAGTAAAAAATCAAAAAATAAATAAAAATAAAAAATTGCTAAATACATAATTATATACAAATGTATGCAAAGATTTTTTTTTTTTTTTTTTTTTTTTTACTAATTTATATATATTGGAATAATTACAAGAGCTTTTAAATGTAAAATTAACTATTTTTTAAATGTATTGCTAATATTTATTTTAAAGAAAATAGTTTGTTTATTGTTATAGTTGTAGAATCAGTCCAAACAATAGTTGATTTTCTTCTTCATGGTTAATTATGCAATCATAAGAAAATTGCTTAAACAAGATATTTCTATTCTTCTTTTTGAATACATCTTAATTCATTTCCTATTGCTTTAAGACTTTGGTACAAATTTTGCTAAAATGAAGACTTAATACTATATAGGTATTTTTTACATACTTAAAAATAAATCAAACTTAAATTAAGAACTACAAAATATTTAATCTATTATGGATTACAATTTTCATATCACAAAAAATTCAAAATGATAAGATTAATGCAAGATTTTATAGTAATACATACTATTAGAATTTTCTAACTTTTTATAGTTAAGTAACATCTCTAAAGAATAAATATCAGCAAACTATATATTCTACATACACATACATATATATATATATATATATATAGATATATATAATAGATAAAATAGATAAAATAACGTAATAATAAAAATATGAACAAACACATGTATAAAACAAATCATAAAACTATTAGGTAGACACACATCTTTTTATAAAATTGGCAACCTCCTTTGCTGCACACCTCTTCATATACATCCCTATATAAAATAATTAGTTTTGATTTAAAATTATGATTATTCTTATATTTTTTTCTTCAATACCAAAATTTGATATATCCTTATCCATCTATATTCTATGGCTCCATATTCTCTCAACCTTCAATTTTTTGTTCTTGCAATTTTTTAAAATAATAAAAAAATTGATGGTTGTATTTTATCACTATTCATCAATGACAAACAAAAATAAAAATAAAATAAATCTCATTTAAAATAAAATTTAATTCTTTTTTGTCAAGGTGTCTATACAAGGATGTGTGATACAAGATGTCAATACAATACAAGAATTCTCCAAAATAATTCAAAATTCAAAATTATATATATATATATATATATATATATATATATACATAAAATTATTAATAATTAATAAAATATAATTATATTTATATTCTTCTTTTAAGTTATCATGATTTAAAAAATATCTATTTACAAAAAATTATGAATAAGTATATTAATATATTTTGATAATTTTTTCTATAAATATTTAACAAATAAAGTATTTTTTTGGTATTGTCTTAGTTCTATCATCATATTTATCATAATGTATTACATTATTGTATTTATTGTTTAGATTATATATATATATATATATATTCTCATTAAAAATAGATTTTTAAGTTTTATTAAATATGAGTTTCATGAAAGTATACTAGATCTTATTTTTGACATAATATCACATTAATTCGTTTTTATCTTTTTAATTTTATGAGGTTAATTATATAGTTATTCTTTCTAATCTGTAATAATTTTGGTTCATTTAATTGTTGCTTGATGGAATTAGTTTCTATTTTAAAATTTTTATATAAATAATTACATACTTATAAATCAAATAATTATTCTTAAATGTATGTTTCATGTACATCTTATACATAAAAAATCGCAAATTAATAAAAAGAAGAAAAAAGATTCTGTCATAATTTATTACATCAAAATAGTAAATAAAATAGCTTGTGGTTCCAAATAAACTCTATGTTTTATTTTTATTTTTTAATGTAATTTTGCAGTTAAATAAATCTTATTTATTTATATATTATAACATTTAATTAATTTTTTGATAATTATATGTTGACTTTGAGAGGTTGAATCAGCACTTAATTAGGAGTAGCTTTCTCAATTTTAAACTAAGTACAAACTAGATGATAATTTGAGCTTTGTTTACACATGTTGAAAAACTGGATTTTTAATTCTTTTTTCTTTTTCTTTATGAAGATTGTAAAAGAAATGTTCTACTACTTCAATACACAATCTGTTCTCAATATTTTTAAGTTGGATTTTTCTAATTTATATTAGAACTAACACCTCAGGATTATACTACATGTTATTTTTAGAAATATTAAATTACAATATAACTAAGCCCATTCAAAAATAAATAAAATAAACAAATAAAAAGGCTGTCGATTGATTCATCTCAAAAAGCTTCTCTAATTTCATCGCAAAAGGTTACTTTCAAAAAAAAAAGTAATATGAAAACCCTATTTTCCTGGATTTCCAACATCAAATCAAAAAAACATAAAGCTCAGTCAAATGGGATAGCACACAGAATAAAAGATTCGATGCCACGTCATCCATCTGACTCAGCCCACATTTTATCCCACTCGAGGAAGGGGGGACCTGCCAGGTCAGCACAGCGTCCATGTCAGCACAGCTTCGTCATCGATGCTTTCAGTGCCTAGGATTCGACGCGACGACGTCGGTGCCTGCGAAACCACCCAATCGTCCCGTCGCGCCTGCTTCCGAAACCTAATCCGAATTGTATGTTGCTGCTGCTGCTGCTTTGCTGGGATTGATCTAGTCCAGACAGACAGAACAAAAAAATTACTGGTTTAATTGAGATGAGTGACGCTCTAAGCTCATCCGGATACGAAGATCGTGATTTCGATCGTTCAGACTGAGTTTCGATTAAGCCAGCATCCCTGCAGAATCAGGAAAAATCGGGTTGATCACCTGGGTTCCTAATCCGCCAGTGAATCGTCTTTCTCGCTACAGACAAGAAGGCTGACGCGCTCTGCAGCTACGCTTTATTCGATCTCATCGTGTCGATCCTGCTTTGCGAGAGATCTTGCTTTATCGCTAGTGGACGACTTACCGCTTCTCCTGGGTGCTTACAAAGCTCCTTGTTCGTCATCGTTATCGCAATTTCTGTGCATCAGTGTGATTACTCGGCTTATGTTTTCGCGGTACCTCTACTAGCAGTGCGAGCTGAGATTATCCGTCTGCCTGGTGGGAGCGTTCGTAGGTGATTCGCGTCTTTTGCGAATCGCGGGATTGGTAGCAGTGAGGAAGTGGTGGGTGGTGGTTTTTGAACTAAGCTAGCCATGACGATGTTGTCGCATCGCTGCTTGCCCCAGTGTTCATCGCCTGTTGTCCTCGTTTCCAGCGGCGTTGTGAAGAAATCGGCTACTGTTCAATTGGCTTCTCAATGCCGACACTCCCTTGCATGCCGAGCTAGCAGCAATGGGAGCAGTGTGAAGGCTTCTCGCGAAGAAGGGAGTACTTCGACTCCTCCGGTGAGCTCAGCATACAGTTTCACATATGACATTGTTTCTTGGCATCATCTCTTCGCAGGATAGAATTTTGCACTTTGTTCAAGTCACTTCCCTCAGGGCTACTGTGAATAGCAGATAATCGCATCATCGCAAGCATTGCTTCAAGCAGCTTGGATTAAGAGAATGATTCGTTCCATTTAACAGGTTTTCGAGGATTCTACTGAAGGCATAGTGTGCTACATCAGCAAGGAAGGCGAGGTGACTTGTGAAGGTTGGGACGAAGGAGGTCACTTTCAACCTGAGCCACAGAATCAATTCACCTTGAGGTCAGTAACGCATCCACTCCATATCTCCTGCAGTCCTTGAGGTCGGTAACGCTATTCGTGAAAAGACGCCAGAACCTCAGAATTTCATCAAAGTTAGGCAGATGCTTTAGGGTTCACTTTAGACACCTGACGTTGGGCCATAGTCCGTGCGAGTTATGGAAAAACACCGTCTCGGAGAAGGATGTACTGAAGGAATGTATTGGAAATCACGCAGGAAGAGAAAAACGACACCTCGTGCTGTGCAAAGCCGAGGAGAAGTTGTCGAGAATACCGTCTTCGAACCCAAAGGTGGAAAGATGGAAGACTCCATTCGTGAAGGCGAGGCAGAAAGGAGCTTTAACTCATCTGAGCTTTAGGTATGTGCATACGCATTAGCTTTTGAAGTACAGGAGCAGCTGTTGTCGATTGCAGCATCGGAAGAGAGAAAGTAGGACAGTACCTGGTGTTTCCAATCTGTGAGACATGGCGGCTCAGCACTTAGAGTCCATTCGGAACTGAGAGCTTACATCCGGGCCTACTTCTGTATATGTGTATGTATTATTAGCATTACATGATCTATTGCAATTCATTATCCTCACAAGTGCAGAGACGTCGATTTGCATAATGAGTTTCTGACACGATGATGGGACATAGGTTGCCTGCTAACGTGAAGATTTGGGAGTGATTTGCATTCCAAATGATGTAAATACGTCGAATTCTTTTGCCGTGAGTATGGAGAGCCATGTCACTACTGCCTCACTCTCGCAAGGTCAAATTTCGAAGGAGATGTTGTTCCCTTAGATGTCACTTCCACCTTTAAGCAAACTGATGACCTGCACTATCCTATGACTAGATTAGCTATGTGTACTTCAGCATGAATCTCAAAGTGATTCAGAAACCAATTAATCACTTTTTAAGTAGGCACCTCGGTCTTGATTTCACTCCGGATCTGTCGTGTCACGAGCGGAATCGCCATACAATTCGCTGAACTAGTTAAACTGGAGCATAAAACATCACAATCGCAAAGCGCAGGTCACTGTCAATTGCACAGCGCTACCATCTCCACTATCAGTAAAATTTCGAAAAGTTTAGGATCAGTTGTATTATAATTAATCTAACATTCAATCACTTCCAATCTTAAGTTCAGAAAACAAAATAAAATAAGAGTAAATAAAACGCATAAAGAAGAAAAAATATATTAATTAAACAGATAATTACCATTTGTGTCCAAGCTCACAGTTACACATCAAAATCACATCATAATCACACCGAAATCCAGAACCTGACTAACTTGCGTGCAGATGGTGTTGTAAGTTTTGAAATCTGGCGTGTTCTTCAGTAAGCGTGCGAAAGAAGAAAATATCTCATAAAGCAGAAATACTATCAAACATGATAAGTATGAAAAGGAGAATATGGCAGACAATGCTCTCGTGCCAGATGGGTAGCACTTTCCGAGCTTTTACAGATCAGACTAATTAAACTTTATAAAAACGACAGCAGAGTTCTCGTACTTACAGTCTTGATATTATATTGCTGCTTCATCGCCAGACCAGCTCCTTTAAATCTACTAGAATTTAGAAAAAGGAAGCTCTACAAGTACCTCAGATTAAAACCCGAAGTCCTAGTAAGGATACTAGATGCTAAAATAAACAAATTATTGGGAGATTATATGAAGGTTGTTTGTCCGAGGATTTAGAATAAGTTTTAAAATAGGATTCATAAAATTTAGATAAATTAATTGTCAATAAATTTCTAATTATTTTATCTTTGCATTTTTTATTTTTTATTTTTTATTTTTCCAAATGTTTCTATGCACTTTTTCTTATATATTTAAAATAATATATATGCATATATATACCAATATGATTATTATAACTATTTTAAAATTATTATTATATTATCTATTTATAAATTGATAAATCTTACAATAAAAATATTAAAAAAATTCATTCAAATGAGATGAAAAAATCAAACTAAAGAAAAGTTGGATCTTCTTATTTGAAATAGAAATTAGCCATTATTACTAAAGCATAGAAATCTTTTTAACAATAGAAATTAGCCATTATTACTAAAGCATAGAGCAAGATATGTAGTACTTAAGAGATAGCAAAAGATGCACATAACAAATTAGTAATGTTGTTGCTAGAATTTTGTTAAGAATTGGGCAACCATATTCATAGTATAATTGATGTTAGGATGGTTGAGTATTTGAGTAATAAGAAGGTAATCTATAATAATAGAATAAAAAAATGGAGGCTAGAAAATTGTATTGATAACGTTAAGCTCAACATTTGGATCTACATATATCCTTAAAAGAGTGCAATTTCTAAAACCAAAACATGCTAAGATGCAATAAAGGTAAATAACTTGATGGATAAAGATGTATTTTTTAGTTTGTAAACAGAGGATATGCAATCTTACATAGAAATTTGCATTGAAGCAAGTGATATTAAAATATCTCTTCTATATAATGTATAAGATATTTAATCTATATTAGTAATGAACAACTAATAAGTCCATCATTTACAAAAAGTGTGACAATGAGTCAAAGATTTGACTTCAAAATATGAATGTATGAATTAGCTTTCATGGATTTAAGGTCAAACTTTATGAAAAAACCATAGAAAGTATGGTTTCAAATGCATCTAAATTACTCCAAATTGTATAAGCTCTTCATGAATAAACAAATAAAGATTGATGTATACAGGTTGGTGATCTCATTCTCTAAGGTTATAACATATAAACCATTGTGTCAAGAAGTTTATAGTAGAACATTGTTTAAATGTCAAACTAGACAATGGTTATATTCTATTATATGAAAATATTAAGTACTATCTTGATAGATTCATAATTTATAATATAATTAAAAGTTTGATTGTAGTCTACTTCATAACTTTGGATGTAGCTTTTTGCAATAAAAAGACGCCTTAAATTTTTCCATATATTCATTAAATTTTATCTTTATTCTATAAATTCACTTACATTTTATTTGTTTGCAACTTATATTTTATTGGTTTACAATAAAAATAGAAAGATAATACTAAAGCAAGAAATTATATTTTATTTTCATTATATGTTACCATTCTACAGCTTCAAAGTTAGCTAGAGATTCTTCATATGTGTCCAAGTCATTGAAAATGTACTCACTAGATACATGACTAGCTAATGAATAGGAAACAATATAGTCTTGTAAGTAAGAAAGTATGTTGCAAATATATAAGATACATGATACCAATAGTATATGTGGTGAAGCTAGCCTTGACATAGGTGGACATTCAATGCTTGTCATCTAGCTTTGAAGAAGTGAATGAGATAATGAGCATGCATGTTACTCATTGTTGGACTCAAATATTATAGGCTCCTCAAACTTACTCAAAATTTGAGTATTATATATTAATGTTATAACTTAATTTATATGAATTGGATTGCAATGGTAGACATGGCACTATTTGTACTTAGAAAATCTTTAGTAGATGCTTCTTGAAATAAAAATAAATCCAAGAAGACTTTGAAGGTGGCTTTACTAGAGTTTGAAAGCTCATCAAATATAATGTTGCAGCTCACAATCATCTCACGTTGTTGTGCATCTTAAAGTCGACATGCCTTTATATTAATGTATTAATTAATAAAAATTATTTTTATGCTCTTTCGATCTAGCTTCAACTTATTTGTTTTTGGTATATGGATATATTCTATGCATTCAAATATCTATACATAAGCAACTATAGGTATTTACTCAATCCAAAGCTTATGAGGAGTTTTGTGATCTTTTATGCAAAAGACCATATAGTTTAGCAAGTAAGAGGCAGTTTGGACCATCTCTCTTTAAAGACTTAGGTTGAATTTCTTTTCCTATAGTATTGTTTATATACATGTGACTAAAGTGTAATTTTTTTGTTCAATGCTCTTGTTTTGCTCTAGGCTATGAAGGCTTGTGAGCTCATGCCAAATATTAGAGTTAAGTAGGAATATCATAAACTCTTCATCTAAGAACTCTCTTCTTTGATAACTTTGTAACATTTGGATGTAATTTGTGGTTTGTTGGAGGATAGGAATGCATAGATGCTTGAATTTTTTTAGCCCATTAGACTTTTAAAAAATATAATAGACTATGCAATAATTTAAAAATTGATCCTTTAAAAAAACAAAATTTTGAATTTTTTTCAAAGATTTTGTATTTATTAGTCTACAAACATTATTGCAAATAAAGAATTTAGGTTTTTTAATTCTTGATGATGATGTTGCTTTAGAAAAGATTGCATAGCACTCTTTTCAATTACACAACTATTTCAAAATTTGGCTTCATTTTCATATCTAAAATTGTTGATGTAGCAATTGCATATTTTTTGTGGCATTTTGTTTATAGACTATATACAAGAAATGCTACATTTAATTAGATGTGTAGCAATTCATTAGACTACATGTGATTTTTTTTATTTATAATAAAATTAAAAAAAGATTGAAAAGTTACATCTTTATCAAACCATTCTTCTTCATCAGCAAATGATTTTATTGGAGTTGTGTTATTTACAATATCTAATAATTTTTGTATACTTAGCAAGGTCTTTATTTGAATGGAAAAAAAAAATCGTGTGAATTTATCAATGTATGATATCAAGACTTATGAGGTCATATGTGAAAAGAGGATGTGCAATAAAAAGTGGTAGATCAACATGGATCTAACTTTAAATAGATTCATCTAAAAAAAAATCTTAAACAAGCATAAGCTCTGTGTAATGAGGTCTTTTGCAAATTTCTCCTTCCATCATAAGAAAAAAGAAAGAATATTAAAGCAAAACGGAAATTTGAATTTAATTCTTATAAAAAAAAAATCATGCGAATATACAAGTAAATATAGAAGTTAAGAGAAATAAAACAAAACTTGAACAACTAATAACAATTTCTATTTTCTTACTTAAACTTTTTTTTTATTCTATTTACAAGAGAAACAACAAAAATGTGGATCTATAACCTATTGAATATAATTAGAATTAAGATGCTTCAAACCTACACATCTAATGTTTTATTGTAAAAGAGCTTTTGCATTAATTACATTAATAAGAAATTAGAAAATGAAGTAGAAAATTTTCTATAGGTTAAGCAAATAATTGATTTTACATAAATGATTGATATTACATAGGTTGTAACAACCTTAATTATTTAGTTAATCAATGTAATCATTATTTGTTTATCCAATTTGATTTTGGATCTAAATACTCAAATAATATTTTTCATCTCATAAGTATCTAGTTCTTTATGGTTTTAGAGTAGTTCCACACAAATAGAGTATGGAATAAAATGACTTTCACTTCAAACACTTGTTACTTATAGGTGGTGATTATTGTCTTTAACAACAATTTCTATCCTTTGACTTTTATATCCATCTAAGGATATATCAAGTTTATCCTTTGGCATCTTATTAATTATAAAGATATGTCTTTTGTATAACTTTTATGCTCTTAGGATCCTTAGTTAATTCATCTACTTCAAAGATATCCTATAGCATATACTTTATACTCTTATCTAGTCTTTGGACTTTGCTTCTTGGCCCTTGACTACATCTAGAGACTAGATAAGAGTATAATCTCTAGTTGATTATTTATCCTTTGGACATATAATCTATTTTAATTTTTTAATTAATTATTAATTATATTTAAATTTTATTTATTTTTTATTAAATAGTTTATTTTATGATTAATAAAAATAATTTAAGATTTATTAAAATAAAATATAAAATTAAAATATTTATGATTTAAATTTATATAGATTTTTTAAAATTAAAATTAAAAAATGTATCTTTATCTATATATATATATATATATATATATTTGGAATAAATATTTTAAAAATCAATTGTCAAAAGTAATATTTTACTAGTAAATTTATAATACATATTGGTCAAAGTTGAATTTAAAAAATAAAATAAATTTTGATTGAAGATTAAATTAATATCCAATATTTAATAGAATTCCATCTATTGAGCTAGTAAAAATGGTAGGACTATGTAATTATGTAAAATAGTTTAATTATTCTAAAGATAAAAAGTAATAATATTTTTACTTCTTAGTATTCTATCTATTACAAGTAAAGTACAAAATCTTGCAAAATATAAATAACAGATTTAAAAATCTTCAATTTTATATTCCAAACTACAAAAATCATAAAATCTTATATTGAAGAATGTATAAATTATAATTTTATGGTAAAATTGTTTATAAAGTGCTATCACAGTGTGTAATCCAAAAATGATTTGTATCTTTAAGTAATGTCCTAAACAACCACCACAACTAATTTTCCTTTGTATGAAAACTATTAAATTGCTAAATATATTGTTCCATAGAAAGAAAGAAAAAAAAAAAAAAAAAAAAAAAAAAAAAAACTATATTATGTAAAAATAGACAAAACTTACTAATATTGCTAGAAGTATTTTGTTGTCCCAAGTATTATTTATATTTGTATCTGGATACAAAAGCTTTAAGGTTATGTTTTGTGGATTATATTTCAGATTAAAGTAGTATAAATTTCAACTATAAGAACAAGAAATAGAAAAATTGAAAAATGTAAGTTATTTATTGTACTAGGTTTTACCTAACAGCATATTTTAATATGAAATAAATCATAAAATAATCTTAAATTTTTATTATACAATACCTTAAAAAATTAGAATATCAAAAACCTAAAGGACAGATTTAGGTACATTGTTAACCATGTTGCAACAAAATTGTCTGATTCTTTACAAACTTTCTAAAAACTACCAATTACGTTTTCATAGTAATAAAAATAATCTATTTCTAAATTTTTCAATAAGGAATAGCATTTCTTTTGATTGAACCATTTTAAACTTCCTAACATCTTTTTGAAAGCAATTAATAAACACAGAGCTGCAGAAAGCAGCACAGCAAGCAACAACACAATTGAACTACACTCTGGCATCTCCAAACTTACACAACTACATAACTACAAGAATTGTTATGACTTGACTGCATTGCAAGATAGCGTATGACTACCACTTTTCTTCATAAATACCCAAGAAATAAAATAAAAAATCAGCTTTAGAAACATACCACAGTGCAACTCGCTCTCTTCACCTAATTACTTTTCTTTAAGTGACAGTATTTCTTCAATCAAAAGAAGAAACCAAATAAACAAGTCTGAATTATTATTGAGTGTTTGATACATGCACATTCATTCACCCATTTATTCTAGAATGAAACCTTCGAAACTAGTAACTCAGAATGCGGATCAACCAGAGCACCACAAAGCAAATGTGATATGAAATGCACCAAGCCTCAAACAAACTGTGCAGAAAAAGTGAAGAAGAGGCCAAAATATGAGCGACAGCTGAGAGCAAGCAGGGCAATTCAACAGAACCACATGTATCTTCATTATCACAGTATAACAACCCTCCAAAACTACGGAGCCAGAAATGTGAACAATACACAAAATATTGCTAGTCACCTCCGTAGTTTTGACTATCTCATAAAAAAAATTAAAAAAAATAAAAAAAAGTTTCGTCCAGAGGCTTCCTCCACACCAAAAATCTAGCACCTGCAAAGTGTGGGCGGCGACTCGCTAATATACCAGTCAGGCCGACGCCTGATGCTCTTGAGCTGGCACAGTTCACTTAGCTGCACAGCCAAATTGTGTGGCCCTACCGATCGATAACAAAATTTAGTCGGAGTCGATCTATGAACATGATAATGAGGCGGATAGCGGTCTGAAAAGAGGAAGCTACTCACATCTCCATGTTCAGCAAAACTGATTGAAGATGTGTGATGTTTTTCGTACCGCCGATCCAAACCAGATTCTGCATAGTCGTGAACTGCGCCACCATGTGCAATGAGTCCTTGATCGAAAGCGACCATGTGCGTTGGTTTAAGGGACTGGTTGTGCTCCCGCAAATAATAGATGGTGGTATTGATCACTGAGTTGAGGTCGACACCCACACAACGTCGTTCTGAGTAATCCAGTGGCACGCCTCAGCTCCACGATGGATCCTCAGCGCAGTGAACGCCGGGTGCTCCGATGCCCACAAACTGGTGTCGAGATGGCAAATGCCCACGGCGTTGATGATGCTATTGTCCTGAGCGCGCAGCGAGGCTTCGACCACCTTCGTACCGGTGACGTGATGGCAGTAATACAATGCCGAGGGGAACATTATGGTGTGGCAAATGATGATATGTTCACCCTCTGCCAAGCTGCGCTTTGTCACTGCTTCGATCTTCACAGGAGACTTTTCGGTTGGAGCTTTATTTGGGGCGCCAGTGGTGTAGAGACTCTCCACTTCAGAACCCAGCTGTGATAGTACGAACTGCCCCATTGCTGCCAGAGAGATGGGGCAGTCCTTAGCTTCTCCGGGAAGTGCCGGGTTTTCGCACAGATACGCCGCAGTTCCCATCATGGTGGCCATCGTGGTCATGTCAGCAATGTTGAAAGTCTGCCTTAGTTTCGGCAAGTTGGCTGCAGCAAGAGGAGGTAAACTCTGAGCAACGACGTGGGGAAGGAAGGGGCGGTTGGGAATAGGGTCGTGGAGATTTTCGGACAGTTGCATTTCGCCTCCAGCGACGAGATTTTCCTCCAGGAAGAAATCAAACTGAAAATCATTGATAGTCTTGATTGAGAGGGATCTGGGGGCCTCTTCGACGTTTTCAATGCCGTAGGACGAAACTTGGACATTGTTGTCACAGACTAGACATGCAGCATCGCAGAATGATGCGCTCACTTCGGGGAACAAGGCTCCACGGGAAACCGCATTGGCGAATCGGGTGGCAATTGGAGAATCCTCAACAGGGGATATAGACTGGCGAAGAGCATCTGGGAGGATAACATTAGGCAACACGGAACTCCAGAGTGCTGCCGAGTCGCCCGCTAAGGTCACTGGCCACACACTGACCTGCAAAACAATTCCAGAGCATTAATCCCACGTAGAAAGAGCTATGAAAGCATCGCGGTTCAGATTATCCGTTTTCTTTCTTGAGAGGTACAAAGAGACAGAGAGACAGAGAAAGACAGCGACTCAGGGAGAGGCTATAAGTGTGTGTGAGTGGCACCGCTTCCAACACCCGTGTATTTGACTTCGAACGCCTTCCACCATAAATATAACTTCACCATACAGCTGGGTGAAAGCTCGGAATGAAATTCCATCAAAGAAAGCAACAAGTAGTAAACGCCGTTGAAAGGAATCGAATAGCACTGACTCTCCCATGAATATTCATTAATCTGCTGTGCGACCACACAAAGAAGCTAAACTACTGACCCTGACTTACGATAAGCTTGAGGAAAACCAGGAGAGCTTCAAAACCACAAATAAGCCGTGCCCTGCAAGGCCACGTTCTTCCCAATTAGACGCAAACTCCTCGACATGAGTATTGTCAATATATGTCATGCTTACCAGGGAGAAGAGAACCAAAACCGCCGCTGCATGTTTGGCCATGGATACCAACTCACAGACGCTGACTCAAACTTCCCTCTAGTGAAGTGGAGTCAAGCAGCGAGCAATATCCGATTGATAGAAAATGGAGTGAAATCGTAGACTGGGGTGGTAAGAGATGAGGAATGCGAGCGAGGAGGGCGGGTATATGTAGCCGCCAGCCACTATTATTTTCGGCAGAATCTACTCTTTTGTAGAATTACCTTTATCTCAACAATATGTAAAAATATGAGTTTGTGTATGTATATTTATACATGAATGTATGACTGTATACATACACACACAACCACAAAAGAACACAACAAAAAAATCTTAAATAATTCTGTTTTTTTAATCTTATGGATAAAAAAATGAATTCGATCTTCATATATAGAAGAAAAATGAATGAATGTGGAAACAGAAGGGTACCCAGTATATGAGTACTATTCATCCCAGCCCTTTCTGCACATATAAAAATATTTAGAGAGAGAAAGAGGAAGTTTATATTCTCAGAATAATGGCTTGGTAGCCCCACCAGCAGCGGTCATTCTCCTCTGCTAAAGCCCGAGTGTTACAAAGATGTTTTCATTTACCACCCACTAGATTCCTTCCAACTTTGCAAGTGCTGCCATGAAGCGAGATGCAAAAACAAAAGAACCGATTCTCTCATACGCACTCTGATGGATTGGCAGGGAGGGAGGAGAGAAACCAAGGTTCACTTCGTGCATAAGACCCTCCGCGCCGTCGCCGCTGTTAGTAGCTCTCGCAGCCAGCAAGTCCGTCATACTCAAAAACTGCGCCAATGCTTGTTCCCCCACAAGTCAATCCCTCCCTCACTCCCCCACATGGCAGCACGCGATCTGTTCAGGACGCGAGCTCATGATCCAGCTACTCGAACCAAGCTTCGACCACTTCACTAGGCTATCAACCAGTCAGTCTCACAACACTCATGCGCAAATATGTCTTGGTTTTTTCACCATTCCAAACTTTCCAGGGACCGTGTCGAAGCCCATTATGCTAGTTTTTTACTGGAAACATTCTTGGCTTTCCACCACCACATTCAACAACTCTGTTAAGGAATCTATTGGTCTAACCCAACTCGCGCCGCGCCGCGCCGCGTATCGCTGGGGTTTAAGCGCTGCTTGCGTGAAGCTCCGCATTTCTTCATTCATCCAAATAGGGTTATGCTCAATGAACAGAGCGTTCTGGACGGAGGATTTCGATTTATTCTCCTTCTTTTCTTTTTTTCTTTTTCTTTTTTTTTAAGGGGCAGTGTAGCCCGTATGAGACAGGCAGTGCCCGGGCTGTCCTTCCCCAAGGGTTTAATACAGATCATGAATATGATGTTACAGGTAGCTGTCAACATTCCCAAAGTTGTGCACTCTGCTTGAGAGCCGTGATAATTGAGGATGATTTCAATGCTGACCGTGACAGTTACCAACCCTAAACACCCACTCAAAAAGTAAAATAAAATAAAATAAACATAAACAACTAACTGGGTCTGCCCGGGGAGGGCTGCCCACCTCCCCATCACAGCTTGAGTGACATGGGATGGAGAGATGGCTGGCCAAGGAAGGGCCCTATTACTAACTCCTCATGTGGGTGGACTCCATTGGGTATGTATGGTACCCAACTGAAGCTTCACAAGTAACATCAAATCATTGAGAGATAGCTCCACAATGAGAGGGTACATGTGGCCTTTTAATTAGGACACAACTCATGGCTTGATGCAAATCTTACCAAAATCTCTCATACCCTATAGACTAGACTACACAATCTTCATACTTATTAAACTAAAAAAAAAAAAAAAAAAACAAAAAAAAACAAAACAAAACATTGAGTAATGTTCCAATTTGGATCTTTAATATACATTGCAAATTTTGATGTGCTTTGTAACATGAACTATATATGTTCTATATATTTTCAATTAAAATGGTGATTTTTGGTTTGTTCTTTTACATGTATTGTACACATTTTGTAATTTTAGTAATGAATCAATGCTCTCTTTGATATATATCTCTTTAATATATATTTGAAGATAAGTCAAATAGAAATTCTATTTATGCCATAAAGGAAATAAACACATTCTATCTCATATTTTTCTTTCAGGAGGTTTGGGCTTATTTTTTAATGTTTTAGCCATTTACACGAGACTTCTTTATTTCAATCAATCAAAATATTAAAAATTAGCATCTTCTTACCTTGTCTCACAAGTATAGAGTATTTCTAAGGATATATATATATATATATATATATATATATATAATAAAAATAAAATAATCAAAAATATAGTTGTAATAATAATAATTTTTAAATAAAAAATTAAAAATTAAAAATTAAAAAATACAATTTATTTTTTAATTTACACAAGATTAGTTTTGACTACACTTATAAAAAGAATAGTTTATAAAAAGATTTATATTATATCAATTTTATCATTTATATATATCAAATAATTTGAAACTAATAGATTCATTAAAAAAACTCTAAACCAATTAAAAATTTAAAATCATATTCTAAAAAAAATTAATAATTTAGAATAAGATGTTTATATATTTTAAAAATTTAAGTACTAAATTAGTGGAATTTCTAAAATCTTGCTATAAAAAGATTATATACATTAAATCAATTAAAAATTTAATTTGGATATTATATATATATATATATATATATATATATATATATATATATATATATATCTAAAATAAACTTTAAAAATTAAGTTCAATTAGTTGTGAAAACAAAATAAAGGAAAAATTAAGTTAATATTGTATTGTAACTGTTTAATCTTAGATTAATGTATAAATATATTAAAAATTGTTAAAATATTATCAAATAATAAGTTAATTGAAATTTGATTTTATGAAACTAAATACATTAAAAAATCTATTATATATATATATATATATATATATATATATATATAGATATATATTATTTTATCAAAAAAATTATTTTTACTTAAAATTTATCATGAATATCTATACATGTTAAGAAAAGCATTTTGAGACCCAATTTATCAAGATTATTTTAAATAAAGACATTATTATAGATATTAGTATTTTTTCTAAAATAAAATATTAAAAATAAATTAAAAATAAAAAATTAATCAAACTTCTTGTAATAATGATCATATACTTGTCTTTTACAAACATAAATTTTGAACTAGTAGAAAATTCTTGGCACTAATAGATTAAAAAATATAGAATTTATAAACTTTACACTATGATAAATAAATATTAAATTTCCCATGTTCAAATAAATATGAAATTCCTTAAAATCTACATCAATATATATATATATATATATATATATATATAGAAAGTAATGGCTAAAATATTTTTATATTTTAAATATATATATATATATATATATATATAGAAAGTAATGGCTAAAATATTTTCATATTTAAAAAATATATATATATATATATATATATATATATATATAAACTTAAATAAATTAATTTACTATTCTTAGAGCTTTATATAAAATTAAAAACTTATAATTTATACAAGAAAAATATATTTCTAAATCGACATAATTTTATTTTAGTTTTAATTAAATATATTTGAAATTGTTTTTTTTTCACATTTTACAATTCTCTTTTTTAAACTTATGAGTTGAAAATCTCTCTTCACACAACTTAGAGGTCAACTACTATTTTACCTACAAATATAAATAGTAGATATACACAATCTATTTATAATCTAAATGATATATATATTTTACTAAATTTATAATATTAATAATAATTTTAAAATTAGTATTTGATTATTATAGTAATAAAAATAAATATTTAAATTATAGATTAAAAATATTCAGTAAAAAATTATTTTATAAAGGTAGAAGAAAAAAATCAACAAAAAAATTAAGTTTATATCGAATATATATATACATATATATACCTTAATTTTTTAAAATTATTTAGAAAATATTTAAAATACCTGATTATTGAATAAAAGTATATAATAAGTTTTAATTGTGTTATTTGAAATTCTTAACCTTTACATGAATAATACGTGAAAAAACTGTTATTTTATAGAATGCATACATAACTATATTTTATAAAAAAAATAATATCAATGTAGAAATTTAAATTTAATAATATGTATAGATACTTTGGATTTTATTTTTTATTAGATACTTAACATAGTTAGAAATTATATATATTTTTATAAATACTCATAAAAATAGTATGATTTATACATAAAAGTATATCATTAATTTCATTAAAATTATAATGGATATATGAAACTATATTACATGCATTTTATAAAATATGTATCCATAATTTTAAGTTAAGTAAATAATACTTAGACGTATTAGTTAAGTTTTCTGTACTAATGATATAGTATAATTTTTGAAAATTATTCTATTAGAATAAAATCATATTATCTAGAATAAAAGTCTTATTTTTAAAAAAATATATATTATTTAATTAAATATAAATAATTAAGAGTAGTTAGAAATATATTAAATAAATTTATAATAATTTTAAAAACTTAAAGAAGTTCTTTTTTATAGAAGTTCTTAAACAAATTAAATTAAATCTCTAGCTTCTTTTTAATATTATCACATAGCTATTATAATTTTTCTTATAATTTTATTTTTATTTTAAAAAAATTGCATTCACAAAAATCTAAAATTTGGAACTTTGAGCCCTATGGTCTTTAAGAAATTTCTAAAAGACCTTTTTATTAACCAATAAAAAATAACACAAATTATAGTTATTTCTAAAATTATCAAAATAATCTTGTATTTTAGTCTTAATTCAAGATTCTATAATTTTATTTTATTTAAAAATAACTATTATTATTATTTTCTATTTTGAAATTATTTCTTCTTTGTTTACTTTCTATTTTTCTTAAAAATAACATATTACAAAGAATTAGTTTTATTGTCTTTATTAAAGTAAAAACATATTTTTTTGATATATTTTTTTAATTTATGATTAGAAGCTACAGTTTTTTATTTAATTGTTTTTGTAAATAATGTTTTAAAAAAAACTAAATCTTCTGAAAAAAAATTAAAATCTTTTTATAATATCAAGAATATTTATTTTAATAGAAATTTGAATATTTTTACCAAAATCTATGTAGCTTTTATTTTAAATTTTTAAATATTAAAAATTACTATAATTAATAATTTAAAAATTTGTT